TCCCCGCACGGGCTCCGGGAAAAACGCCCCTTAGGTTTTTTTTTTTTTTTTAGGATAAAGGGGGGGAGTTTTTTTTTTTTTTTGGGGGCCCAAACACGGTGGTTTTTTTAAAACAGATATATTTTGGGAAACCATCGATGTTTTTATTTTCGGAAAACAAAGGTTGTTTTTTTTTTTAAAAATTGGCGCCCGGCTTGGCCAGGGTTCCCCCCCCCCCCCGGCCCCCGCTGTATGTGCATACTCCTGCCCCCCCACGCAGGTGTTTTCTTTCTGAAATTTTAAGGTCGCTCTGGACAAGAAGACGGCGTTAAACCACGGGGGGTCCGGGAGCCCTCCCCGATTAACGCCCGGGAGCTGGGGGCCCAGCGGACGGGGCGGACGCGGAAGCCCGGGGGGCGGGGGCGGCCCTCCCCCCCCCCCCACCCCCCGCGTTCGAGCGACCCCGTTTCTGGTGGGGCTTGACGGGGAGCTCGTGCGCATGGCGATGCGAAAAGGCGGTGGTAGCGGGAAGGGGGTGAAGGCGGGGCCGGCGGGGCCGGGGGAGGTGTGGGGGGTCGCCTCTTCGGAGGCGTGCATGGTGCCGGAGGGAGCAGAGGAGGAGGTGTGCGTTCTTGGTTGTTGTCAACGGTGACGTTTTTGTGCGGCGACGCGCGCGTGTCGTCGTTTGGCCTTTCTTGTGTGTTTTGTCTGTTGGATGGGGTGTGATGTTTTTCGGCGACACATGCCGTCGTTTTTGTCTGTTTTCGTCGGCTCTTTGTTGTTGGATGGTGCGGTGTTTCGTTTTGGCATTTGCGCTTGTTTTTGTCTGCCTTTGTGTTAGGTTGATGCACTTGCGATATTGCGGCGCCCCGTCGGAACTTTTGTGGCAGACGAGGCGGTTGTTTGTTGTTCGTGCTTTTTGACCATGGTCACCGCGGTTCCCGTATGACCCTAACCCAATCCTCCCTTGTATTGTCGCCTGTCCACGTGTGTTGTGCTAACGTGTCCGCGCCTTGCATGACGCGGATGCATTGGGGCGGCGAGAACAGGCGGGAGCATCGGGCATAGCCACCACACAGCCTAGCCCAGCGTTACTCGAGGTCGTCAGGTGCATGGTGAAACAGGTGCGTTTTTGCTCTTTTTTTCTTCCATGGAAAGAGCATCCTCCCCTCTCCCCCCGTCTGCCTCTACAGTCCTGGGATGACAGCCGATATATTATTCTCAGCAGTTCCTCTACGCATATCAGTACAATGGGTGGTTGGCGCAGATGGAGCTGGCACCTCAGCGAGGTAACCACTGCACCCGCACCCCCCACCCCCATGACCTATGGGGACCCCACCATAAAACACGTACCCATTCGCTACGCCCTCCCTCGCACACCTCATGCGCGTGTCGCCTCCTACACACGCAGTCTGTGCACGTGGACTTGGACCACGATGATATCACGTGGCCCCCGCCGCAGGCGCCGGACACCCCCCCGGCCGAAGAAGGGGAGGGAGGGGGCACCGCCAAGACGGACTCGCTTGGCTCCGGGAAGGAGAAGAAAAAGGGGGGCGAGGAGGCGGCGGGGGCGGAGGCGGCCGGAGAGGAAGGGGGGGGGGTGGGGGCTCCGCCGGTTTGGCCCGAGGAGGCGGCACGGCGGGCTAGGCGCGTGGTAAAGTCGACGCTGTTTCCTGACTTTGAGACCTTCGACGTGGTGGGTACAGCATTTTTTGTTGTTTTTCGTTTTTATTTGTTTATTTTGTCTTTCTCACTTCGAGTACATCAAACACAAGAAATCCTTCTCTTCCACAGATAAGAAGAGTCCGTGATATATTTTGTGTGTGCGTGTGTGTGTGTGTTTTTTTTTTTTTTCCTATCGTGTTCTTGTGCCGTTGCGTGCAGTCTTTGCCTCTTTGATTCGAGTCCTGTGATTTTTGTGGGTGTTTTTATTATTAGCATCGGCAGCGCTATCCCGCTGGCCAATGAAAAGGCGTCAGTCTCAGTTCGGTTGAAAACACAAAATGCTTCTAAAAGGCCATGATCTGGGACCCCATGATGGAGTGTCATGAGGTAGGCCCTCCTGCTGTCCGGATCAATGCCAGATACTGGCTGGGTGTTTCATACATATAGATGAACGGATTTGTAACGTGTGCGTGTTCCTCACTTCCCGCTCGTGCTGCCGCCGAAGCTGACGCTTGCCTCCACGTGTTGCTGATCTCACTGCCACTTCCCACGACCCGCCCCGCCGCCGCCGCCGCCGCCGCCGCCGCATGGCGTTCGTTCGATTCCCGTCCGCTAGGTTTCTGAAACCCCTCCACAGGTGGACGACTTGGACGACGACGACGACTCGGCGCTGTTTAAGTGCAGCGGTCTTAGCGGCGGGGGTGTCGAGGCCTCTCTCCGGGACAAGGTCGAGGCTTGTCGAACGTCTGCTGCCGCCGCTTCGGTAAGCGTTAATTCTACTCGTTGTGTATGTTGTTGGTGTGTTGTTGTTGCTGTTGTTGTTTGTTGTGTTTGGTTGTGTGCATACTAATAGTGGTTTTTGTGGTTGCTTCAGTCAGGATTCTTCCGGTCTCTGATCGGTACCTCCCAATATCCTCACCGGTCCAGCTAAAAAATTGCCTCTTCCTTGTGTGCGTGCAAGTGTGTCGCCCCAACGTTGGAACCACGCTTAGCCCGGAGGGGCATCGATCGGTTGGAGGAGGGAATGCGTGTTTCGGGGAGTACACTGTAGATGTTTGAGTGGGCGGATCAGAGGACGTTTTCGGACAAGGAGGAGGGGCGACCCGGAGTCCCTTCGCCCCTCGTGTTCGTCGTTGTGTGTTTGTCTTCATACAGTCATACCTCGTTTAAGGACACCATTTTTAAGGACACTTCCCCGGTTAAGGACAGCTTTTTTTTCACAGGCATGGTGGCTCGCAGGATGTACAACATAAGGAGGGGTATCATATCAACCTTAAGGACAATCCCCCGGCTTAAGGACACCTGTTTAATCGGAAACCCATGCGTCTTCTTAACCGAGGGACCACTGTTTTGTATGTGTGAGTTGGTATCTTGCTACAACAGAGTAAGTGTATTCTGGTGTCGTCGCCAAGAACCCCAGCATCAAGTCGCGATGGATTCGCAGCAGTACATCATGGCCTCCTTGTGGTGCAGCGTTACTACAAGCCCCCCAGGAACCACCGATAATGTCCATTTTGGGCTCCACCAATCACCGATCGACCTTGAATCCACGGCGTGCCTTCGTTTTTTTTCGAACACTTTAGCACCCGTTCCCTTTTTCGATATCTTTTTTGGTCTTTACCAATCGACTTTGAAAACACGGAGCGCCGACATGTTTTCAAAAGCTAGCAGGGCATGCCACCATCCATCCAAAGCACTACAGAAGTGGTGCCGGTGTATTGCCGGTGCGATCCAGCCGAATTTCACCGGCATTGTAGCGGGCAACCTGCATTCATCAGAGCATGAGACAACTTGAATATTCCATCTGTGCCAGACGATTTAGCCAGCATTGTACAACCAGGACAGCCGGCCTTATACCGGCACCACTACTACTGCTGTACTGTGCCATCTCGGGAAACACGGATAACTTGATTTTAGGTCTCTACCAATCAACCTTCCATCAACGGCACGCCTTCGTTGTCTTTTGACAAACTATGCACAGCATGCACTGCACCATCCACCCATCCACCATGGCACTAAACTCTGTCCAACACCCATCCAAAATCCCTCACCCAACAAGCAGGCTCCGAGGAGGGGGGTCTCAGGCGGTGCCGGCACTCTGACCGAGTCTATCGTCGGCATGTACATACCCACGACGGCGGATCTAGCCCTCAGGGCGGCTGTGGCGGGGCTGGTGGCTTCCGTCCTCGGACGAGTCAAAGAGTTCACCACGCTCTTCGCACAGGTGATGACACGAAGGGCGTATCAAAGAGCGGCAGGGAGGGGTACTCATGAGACACGAAGGGAGGGAGGGACGTATCAAAGAGCAGGGGGTTGGAGGGGGGGGGGTACTCATGGTTTGCATGCCTTAGTTGTGAGACCGTTGATTGAGGGTGCTTTCGGTGTATGTACGGTAGCGAGTAAGAGAGTTAACCACGCTCTCCGCACGGGTGAGAAACGGAGGGAGAAAAAACACGCGTGAAAGAGAGGGAGGGGATACTCATGTTTTGCTTCCTTAGTTGTTGACCAGGGGGTATGTACGGTGGTGGTCCCTGTGTTGGGCCGCATAGATAGTGCTGAGTGGTTCGGCCGGCCTTCCACCGGGCACCACCTGGCACTGTTGAAATTTTTTGAGACAACTTGGGTGTTGTTTT